CCATAGACACTGAGGGATGATTGTATAAAACTTTCATCCTTTGTTAGTGTGTTGTAACTAAACTTTTTACAGTTCCTCCTGTTCCCTTATTTTGTAAAGATCTATTTTACTCTGCAGAAAATAAATTGCCAGATCTCCTTCAACTCCCTTCAGTCTGATGGGTTTCATTATGTAAAGAGAATTATCAGAAACTTGCAGAACTGAATTCAAACATACATGAGCAGGGCTGGGGTTGTAGCATGTTGGAGCCCTTTTTATTTACTTATTTTGTGTATTTGGTAGAGGGATTCACTACGCAGCTCGGAGTCCCAATGAGCCTCTTTTTGATTTCAGCCTCCCCAGCGCTGGGTTACAGGTGTGGGCCACCATGCCCAGTCTTTGTGGCTGGCTCAGCATGCCTTGGGAGCAGGGCCCTCATGGCACCATGGGCCCCCGTGGAACCCTGGAACCTGTTTTAGTATGAACATGAAGTCTATCCCCACTCATTCTCTGTACCCCAATCACAAGCTATTCTCTTCCTAGAAATAAGGCTTGAGCCATGTGCTTTATCTCTCACTCCCACATTTGAGAGTAAATGAGGTCTTCATAAATATGCTGAGACATAACGTATATAGACCGTGATTCTCCTGCTTTATAGCTATAGGGATCTGCTGGCCGCTGCAGCTCCTAGAGGACTTCATGGATGCTGAAAGGGGGCTCCCAATCCTAGTCTTTTGGCTCAAAGAGGAGCCCTTCTTTGGAGACCAGGAATAGTGTGTCTCGAGGAGCATTTTTTGTTTGTACCTTGTACCATAGTTCAGGAGTTTAGACTACCTGAAACCAGCCCAGCAGTACCAGAGAGAAATGAAGGGGAAAGGGGGAAAAGAAAAAACAAAACTTGCTGCTTCAGTAGCATTTGGGTTGGCTTCTCCAGTTCACCTCAGTAGTGGCAAGCCTGTGCCACTGGTGACTGTTGTCATCACTGAAGGCTCCAAAGGGTTCGCCATCTCTGGCTTCCCTAGTTAGTGTTCACATAACTACACTGTGCTTTCTACACAGTTTTTGCTGTTTAAGACTGTGTCTGCTTGCATTGCCCAGGCAGGCCTGGACTCTTTGTATCTACCCTCCCAGCAGCATAGCAAGAATGTAGCCACTACTGCTGCACTTGGCTCTGTTTTGGGTTTTTTAGTTGGTTATGTACTACAATGAAGTGCTTCTTGCAAGTCCACAAAACCTTTCCTCAATCTACTAGTAATGCTCAGTCAGAATTTTTTCAGACACAACATTACAGGACACATTGACTTTAAACACTGTAAGAAAAAGTCTTAGCAACCAAATGATTGTGAGGACTTGAGAACTACTAGCCTCAAGAAAAAAAGGAATCAAGGACAATGAAGGCAACACTTTGAAATCAACATAGTGCAATACGTGTGTGTAAAAGAGGTAGAAAAACAATTCTGAGCAGTTGAATTTCAGTGCAGATTACTTTTATCATGTTTCTTTGAGGTGAATAAGTCTTTTGTAAATAAACCTTTATTGGAATGTGGCCACACCCATAAACATCTGGTATTTTCTCCCTATAGGGGCAGAGCTAGGTAATTCAAACATAGCCTTTCTGCATTGCGACATGTAAGATTTACTCTAGCTTTTTACAGAAAGGTGGCTGTCTTCTATTTTAGAGGACAAGTTTGTCACGTACTACCACTGCCCTCTGCTTTCTGTCCACATAAACGATGGGAAAGAGAAAAGTGCCTTTTATGGTCAGCCATGGAATGTTCTAAATTATTTATGATTAGAATGTCCAATGAATGTTCATAATTTTTTGTTTTGTGTTTTCGAGACAAGGTCTTTTTCACTATGCAGTTCAGGCTCATGACATACCCCCAGGCTGCCCTTGAACTCAAAACAGCTCTCCTCAGCCTCCCAAGTACTGGGATTACAGATGTGGGCTACTGTACCCAGCTTCAGTGTCCATAATGATAGTAGAAGGTGCCTCCTTTCTACCCAAACATATTTCAGAGATAATCACTAATCAATATTACAGACTTTTTTTACAAAACTGTTCAATTTGATAGTTCTTGGCATTATACATTATAAACAGAGTGCAAGAAACCAAACAAATAGCTACAAGGTTGATGAAAAACAAATATCTTCTTGGGGTCTGGGAATGCTGAAATTCCTAGGATACTCTTGTTTCAGGACTCCATGGACACAGGTGGGCACCACAGTGACCAGTGTCTAATGTACTTTAAATCTTATTTAGATTACTCGTAATACCTGATACAATATAAATGCTGTGTAAATTATTGCACTGTATTCAGGTAACAATGGTAAGAAAAGTACACTTTCATTGTAACAGGTGCCGTTTTCCCCCCAAATGTTTTCAACTGAAGGTTGATTTAAAACTTGCAGAACCCACAGAGGGTTGACTGTATTGTTTTTTTCTATACATACATAGCTATGATACTTAATTTATCAATTAGTCACAGTAAAAATAATGATAGGTAATGATATGATGCATTGTAATAATATAATGCAAAGCATCTTGTGTAACATATCTTTACTGTGCTGTACTTGGCTTCCTGAGGTGATGTGGGGTGCTGCTATGCCTGTGTGCTGAGGGGCAGTAGGTTAGATAGTGTGAGGGTACACTGAGGGCCCTGCTGACCTGATACACAGATTCCTCATTAGCAAATATCTGAAACCATAGATTATCATGCTATTATTAAGAAGGAATGGCAGAAAAGGACTTGCTAGGCTGTCCAGTGAGCACTAGAAGATGTGTGCAACAGTGCTAGGTGCTGGGATAACATTGGAGACAGAGTTGAAGTCAAACTATAAAGAGAACTCCGCTCAGATGTCATGGAATGCTTCTAACGCTGAAATCGTAGGTTTGTATGCCACTGAGGATGGAACCCAGAGACTTGGACCTGCTACGCCAGGGTTCTATCAGTGAGTTAAGTTCATTCCCAAGCCCTTTTTATTTTGAGACAAGGTCTTAGCAGGCTGGACTCAAACTGGATCCTTCTGCCTCAGCCTCTTGTTTTTGGCGGAGTTTTTTGTTGTTTGTAGTCATTGTGTTGGTTTTGGTTTTTGAGATTAGGGTCTAAGCCTACTAACATGTTGCTTAGGCTCAGACTGTTGATCCTCCTGTGTCAATCAGCCACCATGCTGGGATGACAAGCATGTACCAGTATACTTGGATTTGAATCCTTACTATCTAATAGGTAAATTTTTTTTTTTTTTTTTTTTGCGGAACCGGGGATTGAACTCACGCTCTTGCGCTTGCCAGAGAAGCGCTTATTCCACTGAGCCATCTCCCCGGCCCCATAAATAGGTAAATTTTGTATGCATTACATAATCTGATTTTAGCAGTTGAGTAAAGTAGGCCTTTCTCATTAGGTACAGAAACCTAGCCAGAGATAACTCTTTGTAGTTCACATTGGCCTCAAACTGCAGCAGTCCCCTGCCTTAGCATCTCTAGTGCTGGATTACAGGTTGTGAGTCTTAAAATACAGCATTTACTTAGAAATATGAAACTCAAAGGTACTGCTTGACTATCTTCAGAGAATTTTCCTTGAAGTTTATGTTACTAGTATGTGTCTTGATTGCAACTCTTACCCAGACAACAGATTACATATTTTGAATTTTAGAAGCCAGTATGTTACTTGGTCTTACCCTGAACTCCAGTAAAGTGTGTTTGCCCATATGAATAGGTGCCTCTTTTCTTAGGATCCTACTGGTGTGCTAGTAGTTTTTTTGTGAATGTTTCTAAACTTGGTGACCAGCTGGAAGTTTTATAGCAGACAGTAGTAGTAATACCTACCACATAAAAAACTAAAGAATCACGCATTGTTTTTGTTTTGTTTGGCTTTTTTGGAGACAGGATGTCTTGGTTAATTTCTCTCCTTGCTGAGACAAAACACACGAAGCCCAGAATTAAGGAAGCAAAAGTTTATTTCACTCAGTTTGTGAAGGTTTCAGTTTATACTTGGCTGGCTCCAAGGCAGAGTGGCATATGGTAGAGACACAGTTCATGGCAGTGTAGCAAAACCTACAGTAGTGAAAGGGAGAGGCCAGCAGAGAGCAAGCCTCTTTCCCTCCTTTATACTGTGTACAGGCTGTTTGCCCAAGTGTGGTTGTAGCACTTACACTCATAATGCCAGCATTAGATTATGAATCCCAATCACAAACTGGAAGTTCACCCGGTGACTGTGAGGCTTTGGAAGGAATCTAGACACAAACCATAACAGGATTTTGCTATGCAGTATTTGAGCTGTTCTTAAACTCACAGTAATCCTGCCTCAGCCTCCTAAGCATTGGGATTATAGGCATGGGCTACTACACCCAGCTGAATTGCTTGTTCTGTCTGACAGGCTTTTAAATGTTTTGTATTTTAGGGAAGGCTCTACAGGGTGTTCAGGATCAGAGTCAGTGATCCGCCTGTTTAAAGCCTCCCAAGAGCTGGGATTACAGGCTGAGACATCACATCTTCTCAATTGCCTTCTCAGGCCGCCCTGAGGGCAGGCCCTGGGGATTAGACCCCTAGCCCCTGCACCTGCAGGCGCTTTAATCACCTAAACTATTTAGCCAGCCCAAGATTTTAAATCTTTATACCAATCTGCCTGGTGAAATATAGTGCCTTTTTTAAAAATAGTGCCTTTAATTTTTTTCAGTGCAAAGTATCAAATTAAGGTCCTCTTCAAATCACAAAATATCTCTCTTTGGATATGTTGATAGAGGTACTGAAACAATGTATTGAAAAGTGGAAGCACCCTTGCTTATTTAAAAAAAAAAAAAAAAAATGGACCAGGGAGATGGCTCAGTAGAATAAGCGCTTCTCTGGCAAGTGCAAGGGTCTGAGTTCAATCCCCGGTTCTGCCAAAGAAAGAAAGAAGCAATAGAAAAATGTTTACCTATTGACAAGAGAAAAAAATAGTCTTAATTGGAAAATTCTAAAGTACTAGAGCTTTGTGGTTTTTATAAGAATAAGCAACTGTTATTATGTTTTTGTTAAATAGATCTGAGTGGGATATACTTTTGAAGGATGTGCAATGTTCAATCATAAGTGTGACAAAAACTGACAAGCAGGAAGCTTATGTACTCAGGTAAGTACTCTAAAACAAATGCTGGGCAGCTAATTTCAGTCCTAGTCATAAACTCACTCTGTATTGTATTAGATATCACATTGTTGCTCTCAATCTTTTAAGTTGTTTTCTTGGTATACAAAGGCCAGTAAGTGTGGTTTATTTATTTAATAAATACCTTGAATGCTTTATATTGTGGTGGAGTTTGCATTAAGATGCATAAACCCTCTACTTTTTAACTGTTTGCATTTGGCATGAATAAACTTTTATCAAAAATTCTTCACACTTGCTGTGTCCTGGGGGTGATAGTGGAGAACAAAACAAGTGTACCTTTCCTCATGGAACTTATTATTTAATAAAAGAAATAATGGAATAATTCCAGAGACAGCAAGTAAGAATGTAGGTAGTGGTACAAGGCGATTGTAGAGTGTCTATTAAGTAAATAATGTCAGACACTTTGTTTGATTATTCTATATAGTTACCCATCTGGAGGCTTTTGTGTCCATATATATGAGGATATCCTATCCCATAGAAAGATCTATCATTCTTGGGATGCTAGTTTCTAGGATATGGATAAATGCTGGAGTGAGAAGCTCTGTGTAGTAACCCACAATGCTGTATACCAACCTAGTCAGTACTTTGGAGCTTTACACTGGTTTTTGAATGGTAAAGGAAAAGAGTACTAAATTGATTATTTCCTTGGGGTAATGTTTAAAAATAGTAGCTAAAAATTATAAAGGAATGTCTCAAAGCAAGTTAATTGTGTCCTTAGTGCTTAAGTAATAATCTTATAACTTTTTTCAACTGCAGTGAGAGTAGCATGTTTGTCTCCAAGAGACGTTTCATTTTGAAGACATGTGGTACCACCCTCTTACTGAAAGCACTGGTTCCCCTGTTGAAGCTTGCTAGGGATTACAGTGGGTTTGATTCGATTCAA